TAGGGATTAATAGGATTAATTAAATCCTAACACTAACCACCAAATATCACAAAATCTGGCATGAACGTCACAACTGGGTGTGCTTGGGCGCTGGCCCGCTGGCTCGATGTGGTGATTTCCCGGGCTGCTCGTACCTTTCGGGGGAATGGGGTGTGTCGGGATAACTATTGAAGCTACGGGCTGCAACTCGGCTAAGGTGTGACTGCGCAGTGCAGTGTATATGCACACATGTATCAGTCCATGTATAAACGAATCGTATTTTTGCGTATACGGGATTTCGGCCAGCCGGGCGGCCGACCATAGTCGCCCCTACCGTGGCGCTGCCACTGGCTGGACGGGTATGCTGACGCTGAGTCAGCAGCTGGAGGGCATGCTGGCGCTGCGTCCCACTATGTGGCCGTGACACCGCGCCACGCGTCCTCCCATGCGTTGCAGTGGACGCATGGTTCAGATCTTTGACTGCGTGGATTTGAGGCAGAAATGTGTTGAACATTCCACTAATTTTCTCGTATTCTTTATGGTACTTGAAATCTTCCCCTAATGCCTGGAAATATTCCTCATGAATCAACATACTGGCCTTGAATAACTCCCCATGCGAGGGGCTCGAGGTATTGACGGAAATGCAGTTATTCCTCACATAGATCCCAACTATATGTTGAGGGGCCAATGAAGTATGCCGGGTGGTGATATCGGTATGCAACCGAATTACCGCAGATAGAAAATACCTGGTAGATGTCCACATATCAAAGATAGAGAGAAATAATATTATGCACTTCTGTCATGAGCGTGTAAAACTGCATGACGCCAACGTAAAGTTGGTAAGTTGCAATTCCAAAGTAAAGATAATGCAATGAGCTTAACTCTTTGGATAGGATTCTACCAGACCATTTTAAGTCTAGACATTAGGACAAATTGCTAAACTTTAATCCAAGGGTCATAGAGAAGGCACTCAAGGAGAATTCTGCAATATTATTCATTCGATTTGCTTGAAATCGATGTCAGGATAATGAGCCAATGGTTTCGTGTGAATAAAGCACACACTTAAGACCATCATGTAGATATGTCTTTTAGAACCATGGAATACCTGAATAGTCTAGTCAATGGATGGGAAGAGCCACTTACCTCAACTTGATGCATTCAATTGTCTGAGTGGTTCAGCGTAGACTTTAAGGTGTGGGAGCCTTAAAATTAGCTTCCCTGTGTCACTTGTAGTGCACATAAAATTCAAATGTTATTAGAATTTAGCATCATAACAATCATAAACCAATGGAATTGTTGATAATTTCGTTTTCAACCCAATGTCAATGATGACCAAAGCAGGAATGCCAAGTTTGTCATGCAAAAGACACTTTGGAAAACTATCTCGTACGCAACATGTGCTACGGGTTTTGTAGTATGTGTAGTGCAATGCCGATGATACATAGAGAATGTGCTTGCCATATCCGTTGCATATGGTAAAGAGAAGATATTTCTCTTTGTTGTCATCATAAGTTTCGCTATGGAAACTATTTTGATGGATACCTCTATAGTTTAGTAGGGTACGAGTTAAACCTGGGAAGCAATAAAGCATCCCGATGTTACTCGGGTACCCACAGGGATAGTAAATATGACTCGAGTTGAGCCAACAAATACCTCATCGCATCTAGCGATTTTAAAATATCTCCTTTCTCTCAATGAGAGTGGAAACATTGGACTTCCCTGAGTATAGAGTTTGTGGTGCATATGTCCACAAGGCACATATCATTTTTCATCGAATTGACTCCGGTAGAAATCTATATATAGACATGAAGATTCTCAATATGAAAATCACTGTCAGATATATAGAATACATACAAATGTATTTGTACCAAAGTGCTGATACAATATATTATGATATACAATATATGATGACAACAATACTTATGTTCTTATTAGAACATCATAAATGGACATAAATTATGTTGACCACTCAGGAGATTGAGAGACTAGACGAAGTCTTCAAACATGTTAGTTGAGTCATATTCAACCATCATATTCTCCGTGCCCATAGGGTCCCGTCACTGCTGGTGATGTCGGGTTGAAGGTTGAAGTGAGCTCCAAACCTTTGCCCTTGAGGTCTGTTGTGTCCTAGGAATTGCTGATACAGAATAACCAGATGCAGAGATCTGAATCGATATAATGCCTTATGATGTATAAGACAATATTTTTCTGTTAGCGGTGTGATTCCGACCAGAGGTTAATCATGTGGTCTTGGATTGCACACACTATTCCACAAGACACAAGAGTGATCATGATGTCCATGCCCAGATAGGGTAGTGGTGGCGATTGAGGGCGAATGCCTCAAATTCTCTAGCCATCGATTACCAGAGATAGTTAATCTACGATTAGTAAATTGAAGACCATCATGGTAATGTTGTAAAATTAATGGATATTTCAAGAAGTTATCTTGAAACCATTAATGTGAATCTCAAATTGCTAAGCATGACACCTTGAAGATAATCTCCAAAATGAAGTAGATCTCGCAGCACTAGGGAGTATAATCTGATGAAATCAGTAGATACTCACTCCTAATGCCTTATGTCATGACTTAGTAAAATGAATGGGAGTGCACAATGTTGTGCAATCATAATGTCAAATTTGACAAAATGTAGGCTTAAATAGTAGTGGTGATAATCTGCAAAGCAGTAGATCTACACACTACCTCGGGATCCCAATACATCAATTTGAAAAAATCACTAAGAATTTTGCGTATGTATTTGCAAGAAATTGAAAATCTCAATTGCAAATAGACGTATTAATCTTGACATGTAGCGAACATGGAGATACATACATTCCGGAATACATCATACTCAACGGAAATACACTACTGTTGTAATGAATAGTAATGATGTTGTAAACTTGATGTTCAAGTGAGAACTTGAATTGTATAGACCTCAAATTAAATGAGATGATGTTGTATCAAGTTGCCAAATTATTCAGCAAAGTGAATTAATATTTCACGAGAGAAAATTAATCTCAATCGCAATGAGATTGTTTTGCGAGAGAAGAAAATTCTCAATTGCAAATCAGTACTCTAGAGGTACTAAATTTATCTTTGCAAGAGATAAAAACAAATCTCAATTGCAAATAATAGATGTAATTAATCTCAACATGTAAGAAACATGGAGATATATTACATCAACATATTATATGGAATACATAGTACTCAACATATTTACAGTACTGAAATTTAAGTACTGTAATTAACAGTGTCTAAAACAGAGTTAAACTGTTGTTAATAGAACAAAATGCGAAATTAATCAAGACAAATGTAGGATTAATTCGGCAAAATTGTCCAGGATTTAAAATGGACTGAAAACACATGGGCCTTCTGGCCCATACGGCCTTACAAATGCAGTGGCCGCGTCGTGCGCCGGGGGGCTTCACCGCGGAGGACGGTCTAGGAGCCGCGGCCTCAGCTGCCCTCCGCGCGTCTCTGCGCGGGCAGCGACCGCGTCGCGGAGCGGCTGCGAAACCGGTGGTTCTGGTGTCCCGGTCCAGCGCGGGGCCAAGGCCAGAGGAAGCAGATGCCATCGTCGCGATGCGACTCAATGTGCGGCAGCGCCGTCGCCGGGGAGTGCGTTGCCAAAGCGCTCCGCTGGGCCGCGCCAGATTGTGGCATGCGAGGATGCAGGCCGCTGCCAGCCTAAACCGAGCGCCGTCGGTTGTTGTGGTCATGCGAAGAGAGGACGTCGTCAAGGACGATCCCAGGTAAGAGCCGAAGGGAATGATTCCATGTAGCATTTGTTGTGTGCAGGAAAGAAATCGAAAAAGAAGCACCTTGTTTCTTGTCGATCTTTGATTTCGTTCCTAATCCTTCCCTCGTTCTTGGTATTCTGAAGGCTAACGGCTCTGGAAGATGGAATTGAAGATCTTCTGAGTTGATGTCGCTCTTATTTGGATTTCCTTTCTGTCAAGAGTGTTGCAGGCACGGCGGCCTGGCCGGTGGCGTCGGAGTCCGCTGCGATCTAGGGCCATTGAGTTGGTGGAATAGCCCTCGCCTCTGTGCGTGCGTAACCTCCGTCTCGGGCATGCTCTTTTCTTTCGCTGTACGCTGATAGAATCGTTCCGCTGGAAGCGTGCTGATAACGTATTAGGCCTTGTATAATGGGAGGTGCTTAGAGAAATAAATCAGGTTTTTTTTAAGTACCGGTGCTTATTTATGCAGAATAGACACTTAACTAAGCGTCTCTCTTGTAGAAATAGGCATCGGTGCTTCAGAAAAACCGGATTTATTTTTCTAAGTATCTCACTAAGCATTTCCCATTGTGCAAGGCCTTAAAGAGAAAGGAGAGAGACAGAGAAGTAAAAATGAATCCTTGTTCTTATTGATGATGGGTTACACATATATATAGCCCTCGAAGGGGTGTCTTCGAAGGAACACGAGGCAACTGCCTCCTTTAAAAAATAGGGATTAATAGGATTAATTAAATCCTAACACTAACCACCAAATATCACAAAATCTGGCATGAACGTCACAACTGGGTGTGCTTGGGCGCTGGCCCGCTGGCTCGATGTGGTGATTTCCCGGGCTGCCTGTACCTTTCGGGGGAATGGGGTGTGTCGGGCTAACTATTGAAGCTACGGGCTGCAACTGGGCTAAGGTGTGATCGTGCAGTGCAGTGTATATGCACACATGTATCAGTCCATGTATAAACGAATAGTATTTTTGCGTATACGGGAATTCGGCCAGCCGGGCGGCCGACCATAGTCGCCCCTACCGTGGCGCCGCCACTGGCTGGACGGGTATGCCGACGCTGAGTCAGCAGCTGGAGGGTACGCTGGCGCGGCGTCCCACTACGTGGCAGTGACATCGCGCCACGCGTCCTCCCATGCGTTCCAGTGGCCGCTTAACATGCCCACTTAAGGCCCTCTCGTCCTTCTCCGAGGGCACATCTCTCTCAGCAGTGGCAAACCAGTAAACAAGAAAGCTTGGGCGTAGGTCGCAGCTAGGCAGCGAGAAGAGGAGAGCATCGTCCACCATGTGGCCGGAGATGAAGGCGTGGGCCTCCATGGCCGACGACCCGCTGAAGCGCGCCTCGTCGTCGGCGACGAGCCCGTCCAGCCCCATGCGCCGCTTCAGCCCCACCACGATGGCCGTCGGCGGCCTCCTCGCCGTCGGCACCGTCGGCTACTTCATGTTCATGGGCAAGGACGACAGGCAGCGCGAGCGCGACAGGCACAACGAGCGCCTGGCTCACCGCACCTGAGAAGCTGTTGCCGTCGGCGGAGTCCTTCGCCGTAGCTTACCAGTAACCACCGCATGACAATAAGATCCCCCCCTTCTGGGTGTTGGTGTACAAATCCCGTGTGCTCTGCTTCTCTGTACTCTTTTATCAGTGGAACATGCATAGATTTCACTGAGCATGTATGGTCTCTTCTGCACTGAACATGGTTAATCCTCTGAACTTTAGCACCGCACGAATTCAGAGAGCTGTGTGTAGTTTACTGTAAGGATACACGCGTACACTTATCAGAAGTTCACCCATTCGCCTAAGATAACGCCTGAAGAAGCAGAGCTAGTTAAGAAGTTGTCTAGTCGATCTCGAGGGAGGAGTAGATGAGGCTGGTGAAGCAGAAGCAGGCGTAGAAGCCGACGGTGCCGGTGAGGGTGAAGAAGGCGTAGGAGGCGACGAGCATGTAGCCAAAGTAGAGCGCGCCGGAGACCACCTTGGTGGTGTCCAGCTTGGCGAAGAAGTAGAAGGCGGCGTAGAGGAAGAGGTAGAGCGCCGACGAGCCGGCCGTCAGGTAAGTACGACCTCCACAACCACCGGTAGTCCTCGCCGCAGACGATCTTGTCCTTGACGTCGTTGGCCCTCTCCTCCTGGGTGAGCATGCTCCTGCAGACGATCGATCTGGCACAGCCTCGGCTCCCGCATCTCCAGTTTTTTTTTCCTTTTGTTCGTTTCTGTCATTTTTCTTTTCTTTTTCGTTCTCCTTTTTTCAGTCTTGTTACATTTGCTTCTTCATTTTTTATCTCTTTATTTCTTTGGTTTCTGTTTCTTTTTTGGTTTTCATTATTTTTGTTTTTCCTTTGTTGTTTTTGTTTTTCATTCTACATTCTCGTATACACGATCAATATTTTTTCAGATACTTGTTCAACAATTTTCAGACTTTTTTGAAGAGTGTTTTTTGTAATATTTATTTACAATATTTAAAGTATAAAAAATCAAAGTAAAAACAGAAAACATAAAACATAAAAAGAACAGGAAAAAGCGGTTGTGGCCTCCCGCGCTTGTGGGCCAGCCCAACTCGCTCGCCCCTTCAGCGAGTCTGAGGCCAGACTCGCTGAAGGCGAGATATAGGCGCGCCCTTACTAACAATCTGGAAAACAATAACAGGACGCGTGCATTTAGGCCGGATTAGGTAAGCCATGAGTACCCGAAATCACTAGTTAAGAAGTATTCATTGCAAAGATAACTCCAACTCTTTAGGTTCCGACAAGTGACATGTAGCGTGTCACTTGTTGTAATCTGTGAGTTCTTTTTTTAGATTTGTTTATTCAAAACATTTTATCTCTCGAATCGTGCGTACAAATTTTGAACAGTTTTCACCCTTAAATTTCTTGCGTAGAGATCTTTAAAACTAGGTCCCATGTTGATAGGTTTTGATGAACTTTTTTTACCAAAAAACCAGACAGAAAAAAACTGAACAAAAAACCAAACGAGGAGCATGGGTTTTCTCCCTTTTTGAAAGAGGCCCGTCTGTACCTCTTACAAAATCACAACCGTGTCTCTCGCGAAAGCAAAACCGCGACTCTTGTGAAAAAAAAGAAAAACACATTTCTTTTTCTGTTTTTAGGATGTGCAGGCGTGACTCTCACGAGAACACAACCGTGCCTCTCGTGGAAGCAAAATCATGACTCCCGCGAAAGGAAAAAAAACAAAAAACTTGTTTTTTTCCGCTTTTAAGAGGCACGGCCGTGACTCTCGCGAAAGCACAACTATGCATTTCGCGGAAAGCAAACCCGTGACTCGCGAAAGAAAAAAACAGAAAAAACGTTTTTTTCATTTTCGAGAGGCATGTTCGTGACTCACGAAAACAAAACCATGCCTGTAACGGAAGCAAAACTGTCTCTCGCAAAAGAAAAAAAACAAAGAACGTGTTTTTTTCGTTCCGAGAGGCACGGCCGCGATTCTCGCAAAAGCACAACCGTGTCTCTTGCGGAAGCAAAACCGTGACTCGCGAAAGGAGAAAAAAAACAGTAAACGTATTTTTTCCGTTTTCGAGAGGCACGGCCGTGACTCGCGCGAAAGCACAACCGCGCCTCTCGCGGAAGCAAAACCGTGACTCTCGCGAAAGAAAAAAAACAGAAAACGCGTTATTTTCGTTTCCGAGAGGCACTCTTGCAAAAGCAAAACCATGACCCTCGTGAATGTGAAAAAAAAGTAAGCGCGTTATTTCATGCAATTTTTGTTAATTTTGTTTAATCAAAAAGCTAACATAGACCGGTGAAAAATCAAAATATTGAAAAACTCTGGAAAAAAACTGTTTAAAAAGCCGAAAATGCAGGCGAAAAAATAAAAAAAATCTAAAAGGAGTGCCTAGAACGCGACACGTGACGATTGCCTGAGAGCACACCAAATAACGCTGATTGTTGCCAGGCTCTTGAAGGAGCGCTCGTTAACTAGTTGCTTTCGCGAGTACCCAGGCCCGTCGTTAAATCCTCCCTGCTTAAAGGGAGGCGCAGGTTACCCCACTTAACATGGGCTGGGCCTCTTAGCACCATGTGCACGTTTGGTGAGAGGCAATTGAAAGTTTTGTGCATGCAGGTAGCTGTATCTGGAGGAATTGAAACGTTTGGTGAGCAATGATGTAGTGTAGCAGTTACTGTACCGAACATCTTTTAACATTTCGAAACTATTTTTTGAACCAGAAACAATTTTGAAAGTGCAAACATTGTTTTAAATTTTGAAGAAAGTTTGCAGACACATACTTTTGACAATTCAAGTTTTTTTTAAATTTATGAACAACTTTCAAAAAACACGAACATTTTTTGTTTTTAGAATATTACTTCCTCCGTTCGGAATTACTTGTCGTAGAAATGAATGTATCTAGATGTATTTTAGTTCTAAATACATCCATTTCCGAAACAAGTAATTCCGAACGGAGGGAGTATTACAATTCAGAACATTAGAAAAATGAATAGATTTTAAGTTTTGTAACCTTTTTGTGAAAATATGCTTATTTTTAAAATGTCAAACATATAAAAAATGCAAAAAAATCAAATATTTTTTATTGAAAACACGACCATATCATTGCAATTTCTTAAAAAAATTAAAATTTAAAAAAAACGAGTAAAAGAAAAAACCACCTAAGTATAAGCAAAAACCTAAAAAAATAGTAGAGAAAAACAAAAACAAAAACCAAAAACCAAAATGAAAGCTTCTAGAATCTTCATAAATCAGATAGAAAACCAGACAGCAAAACAGAAAAACTGAAAAACGTTGCACTACCCTGGCAAAAATGGTCCGGCCTATCTGGAACGGTCCCATCGCTCATCTGTGCGAGAGGGTACATATTTGACGCAAAAAAAAGGTCAAATAAGAATTCCTACAGTTCCCTATTTGACGTTTTTCATCGAAATGGCACCCAAGCGACGCCCAAATGCACATAGGCGTTCTACAAGGCAATGTAGGAGCCCTGTAGCAACAGCGACCATTCCTAAGGATTGATAGTGAGTTTTAGCTGTTTTGTTTTGATTCTCCCGTGTTGCTCAATTTTTTTTGTCGACCAGTTTTAGTTAAATTTTTATATTTCCCTTTCTTTTCATTTCCTTTCTTGAAAGAATGTTCACTATTTTTAGAACATTCTTTGAAATTCATGAATATTTTTCAAATTTATGAACATTATTATAATTTTTGTGAATGTTTTAAATTATATGAAAATTGATAAATATATAAATTTTCGAAAGATTTTATAAATTGGTTACATCTTGGAAATACACAAGCATTTTTTAATATTGGCGATTTTTTTAATTTTGTGCCCTTTTTTAAATTCTCAAAACATTTTTTGTTGAGAATTTTTTTTATTAAATTTTCATACATTTTCTAATTCACGTATATTTTTTAATATCGTAATTATTTGCAGCTGGTTATTTGGGAGATAATCAGAAGACCAAAAGGGAATCGGTAATGTCCTGATCGCCAAAAGGGCTGGCCCAGTCACAGGCTGGCCAGGTTAACATGGGTTGGGCCTGTCCTGGCTCATCACCGGCTAATTTTGCTGTTAGCATTATGGACAAGTTTGGCTGGTCATGACCATATACACAACCTTTTGCCAAACTTTGCCACAAGTTTGGCAGCAGTTTGTAGGCGCGATGTTTGCGTAGTATATATGGTGGAGACGTGGAGTAGCTATAGCATGCTGTATGTTTGAGCAGCCTGCTCTAGTAAATTTTGCGAGATCCTGTAACAATTTTGGCAACCTGTTTCTTCATCCTGGCAAAATATGGAATGAATCAAACCAGCCAAAAGTTATCGGAGACACTGGCTTGATGTAGCT